TAACATCACTACTCATTAATTCCAGGGCCTCGTAAATGAAATTGCAAATCACTATGCAGTACTTAATCAAGAGGTATACAATGAAACTGCACAACTCGGCTGTTTACACAGATCCCAGTGGCTGAACAGGCTGAAATATAATTATGCCAGACAAATTAAAACGACAGAATATGACATTTAGATGGATAGAATTCGTGTAGAATAAAGATTTATTGTGCATGTATAGTACAAGGACATCGCGACAAAATCGAGCAAATTCAGCAAACGCAAGTTAACTGTCCGGTGATGCAAAGCATAAGGGTACAGGTCGCATGATGTTCGTGAATAAACGAATGTATTAATACACAACTGACGTCAGCCGGGTTCAGGTGGGGCCGCGGCTGGCGGACGCGGTTGCGCGCACGTCCCATTCCGAGGGTTTGCGAGTGAGCGCGTGTTGACAGTCAGACGCGAACGACTCCCAGTCATGATGTCCGCTGCTGCTGCTGCTGCCGCCGCCGCCGCCGCCGCCGCACAGCAAAACAACAACGAAGAACCGGGGCTCAACGGTAAGAAAATGGCGTGAATCCTCACGTCTTCCCTTGGAGGTCGTACAGTTCTGGTTCTAACACTGCTTTATCCCATGGTAAAAAGTAATAAGGCTTTAAAAATACAGGTAATTTCAGCAAACACCATTAATATGTACACTTAACGAAATATCTTAGGCTGACTTTCTTATCTAGGAGGCGGAGGCAGCGTGTGACGGTAGCATCTATCTGAGATTGATGTTCTCTGTAGCGAACCGGATTGCCGACAATGTGAGAAGGGGGCAGAAAGGAGGGGTTTTCCTTGGATGTTATTGTGACTGACATTTTTTTGACCAATAGGAGTAGCATCATCTCGCTGGTCAGCAGTTCGGAGTGGGCGGGTACTTCATGATGTCAACAAGGCAAGAACGGAATAAATAAAAGAGAAATAGGAGGGGGTTGGGGTGTTGTTAGTAAATTAATATTTTGTTATTAAAATGTTTTATTCATGTTTACATATCAAGCTGCAAATTGGTAACACCTAATATTTAACGCCCGTTTTGTTTGTGGTTGCCTAATTTGAGACCAAATGTGACCTATGGCTGTGTTTGTATTGAAATGCATCTATTTATGACGATTGCGCTGGTAAAACTCTTACAAAAACAAGGTATCCATCTGCATTAGTCTTAAACATTTCCAGGTTTACACTGCGCCTGCTGTAAAAAACCGTTTCAATGTTAAGTTTTGCACAAGAAAAACTTGGGTCGTTTACTGAATTCTTGGATGGCATGGAATAAGACATGTTAGAGCTTGTCTTATTCGTGTTGTAAACTGTTCACAAAATGTTCCGCTAGATAATGTGGGAAAGGGGGGGAAGATTTGCCAGTATTATCTTTGAAGGCTGTAGCTGACAAATTAATGGGTAACAGGTCGAAAATGTGGCCTGCCTGCCTGCCTATCAGTGTGGCTTTGTTTACTTCGCAATGCAAAATGTTTAGTGTGTGTGGGGTGGGGGGGAATTGGAGGACTACTGTAGAAAACCACATGATCTTTTTAGATTTGCTATTTTTGTAGAATTAGGAAAGCAGTGTTTGTAGATACTGAAATGTTGTGCAATATACAGCTTAGTGGAGGTTTGAAACTAGTCAAGTCTTGTGTTTTCATGGGCATTGGCTATTGTCTCTGGTAGTTCCTATGAAATAAATTTTTTTACGTTTTTTTATCTTAATTATACCTGCCTTACCAGACCCCCCCCCCCCCTTTAATTTCCCTTTCTTAGCAGCAAGTTGTTGTGGCATGTCTTTAATTATAGAGCTGAAGTATTCTCTAAAAATATATTGTGTGTGAATTGATTAGATAGATACTTTATTGATCCTGTGAGGGAAATTGCAGTGCAACAGCAGCTTAACACACATAATACAGCCACAGTGTAACGAATTATATAATAATAGTACAATACATACAATACAATACAAGAGTTACTCACAGTCCGGACACACAAGAACAAACTAGAACAGAACAGTACACAGAAAAATCGTATCACACATATGAATATAAATATAGATGTATTGCACAGGTCCCTGGCATATATTGCACAAAAAAAATGGTTGTAAATGGGAAAAAGAAAAAGAAAGAGAACAGATGTAGCAGTAGATGTGTAGATGCGTTTAGTCCATATTAGAGAACCATATTGTTATAGTAAAATTTAAAAAATCTGAATGTGGTTTACAATATTCCAATTATAAAATTGTTCAGTTTTGTTACTTGTTGGTTGTAAGAGATTATTTTTCTATGGCTCCTGTTTTTTATGATGGTGATTTTGTATTAAATATTACTGTAAAGGAGGCTCAGCAGGAATCAGTAGACAGTCCCTCCTACACAAGACCAAATTGTATTGGCACCAGAAACTACAGCACAAATGATCATTATAGCACATTATCATTTCTGCAGAATCACAGTGCCTTACAATTTCAAGCACAGCACTGCCCACACTATTTACAGAGTCCAAAACCAGGTATTAGTTTTCTGCAAAAGAGGTTATAATATTTCTGTATATAGATGTTAGGACTGTACACAAGCAGTTTTAAAATCAAACTCCAAACCTTGCACAGTTGAGACCAACTTATCATTTAGGCCTTATAGTGCTTCTGCTTGAGTGAACAAGGATTGTCAAATCGCAGGAATAGAGTAAATACGGTGTATATAGTTCACACTGCGTCTTCAAACATAACTTACATTTACTATACTCTCTTTAATCAAAATCACTATCACTTTCAGAAGGGCTCTTATATCTGCAATTTACAAGTCTTGATATTGTCTGAATATTCTCGTTCATTTGTGTCACCGTTCATCAATGGTAACAATCGCAGTTATCCCATTACTATTGGCAGAGGAGAGAGGAAGAGGTAATAGCCCTAGCCAGTATCAGTAATGGCTTAATAACTCGCATAATGTTTCTCTCACCATGCTCCCAGAGGAAAATCAGGTTCTGATAAAGTCTGGGAATGCATGCTGACAGCATGTAATTAATCTCTTCAGTGATGCTTAAAGTAGACTTTCAGAATTGCTGTTCTGATAGTTTTACAATCGTGCAACAAGACTTCTTTCTCTGTGCAGGCAAATATGTAATTTATATTTGGTTTCGAGGGATGTAGAGGTTTATTGTCCTAATTATGAAAGTAAAGAGTGATACAAATAAATAAGATGTGGAACCAAGTTATGTGTAAATTTCCAAATATTTTTTTAAGTGAATATTTAAACATTCAGATTTCAACTAATTATGTTCTAATAGTTTTAAAGCAGTTTTGTGTTTCATTCAGGGGATTGGTCTTGTTGTTGTGGCATTAACTCAGACTACAGTATAACAGTGTTGTTCTTCTGTGCAGCTGCTCTGGGATCAGGCAGTGTTTTGCCACGTGTTGAAAGCTGGCTTTTCTTTGTGTTCCTGGGAGCAGGACAGAGGGGCCAGGACTCTGTGAGGATTAGCATCACCTTGAAAAACATGCCAGAGATCCAATAATCTCGCCATCTCTTGGTACAGCACACTGCAGGTGTACAGTATACTCCTGAACTTTAATGGAAAAATAGATATGTTGCTTTTCACCTTACATTCACAATTTTGTTACCAATGTTATGGAAACATAAGTTACACCTAATTGTGATCACCCATTCCATGCTCGTACAACCATGGGTTGAAATAAAACAAAAACTGCCTTCTTTCTTCCTAACAAAGCCCTATAAAGTCCTGTAAATAAGATTGGTCATTCATTTACAAGTTACAGTCTTCCTTTATTTATCCATGCCAAAGATCACCTGATGTAGTTATATTACACATCATCTTAACATTTAGAGATCTAGCACCCTAACATTTTGACCAGATACTGTAGAATTACCATTAACTCTAGCACTGCAACTTCATTTCAGAACATTTTAGCATTTCTCATCCCTGCCAGATATTTAGATTGATTGATATAAGGATTTAATCCAGCTGTGTCCTTTAAGAAACAAGGGTATCTGTTTCAGCAGCGTTGCTGGGTACCTTGTTCCATGTTTCCACAGCCTGTCAGTGTGTCTCCTGTTCTCAGCTTTGCTTGGGACTAAGACTGTTGCATTAGTTTTACAGTTTCTTCTTTCTCAGAGCACACCTTGTCTGATCCTTGCCCATACTAGACATGTTTATCCTTCATCACTAAATATACAGACAATAATCTGCACCATATTGGACAGATCCATGTTGCATTTTGGTGCATTGAAATTACAGCTCAATTACTGTTGCTTCCACTTTGTACTCACCCTTGGAGGTAAATAGATAGCATATTGGTGACATTTGCAGGAGTGAATGGTATACTGTGAAAATGGCTACTCTGTATAACTGAAAAAGTAATAGAATTTGATTTCCTTAAATTGAGATGGAAAGCTGAAATCGTCTTGTAGGACACTCTATATTTCTGCATAGTTTGCCCGCTGATCTTCTAAAGAACACCTGCAGAATGACTAATTAGTCTCTCATCATATCTCCTCTGTGTGTGTTAAGATAACTTCACTGGAGCCAGTCTTCATGAATTCCACATGTAATTAAAGCTTATCCTTCTGGGGCGGGTTGTAGCAGTCAAACCAAGCCACTGTGATAATGAGCCAGTGATACGGCCTGGGTGTTCTAAATGGGTCCACTGTAAGCGAGCTTAATTTTTTATATTTTCACTCCTGGTATGAACTAATGCCCCGTGATGCAAAACATGTGGAATGCTGAGCTGCAGAGTGCCATGGTAGATTGTTGATGACTTTGAGCAAAGACAAAGAGCTCTTGCAGTACTCTGACAGCTGGGATGCACCACTGCAGTGGTGACAAGAGGGCAGGGGTCACGCCCAGGTCGTTGTCTGATCTGGTACTTAAGGCTGGCTGCTGAATTGGGGATGTTTAAACAATGAACCATTACTAACTTTACAAGCTGGGGTTCGTTTACTGCCTCATACTATTCCTGTTTGTGTCTTTCAGAATTTCAAAACAGCACTGATTTCTTTTGCAGTAACTTTATCTTTTGGGTTCATTCCTAGCACTTCCTATATTCTTCCAGGGTTTCGCTATTTCAGATGCTGATGATAAAGCTAAAAGTACACAGAAAAGTCATTTACTCACACATTAGTCTAAATACCTCTGCCAGTTCCAGAAAATCATTTTAGGAGTAACTTTTGCTAAATTAATCTATTATAAATATTTGCATATCACCTACTAAATATTTAATCTGCTAAAAGTTTGAACAACGAGCTTTTCCCCTCCCTTCCACGTATACTATCAGTTTTGTCCTTAAGGTATCCAAGCTAAAATGTCTGCCTCTCTGAACATGCATTGTAAGACAGAACAGAAATAGTGACAGCTACACATCTGCTTGAAACAGTCATTTTGATGCCGTTTAGTAGAAAGAAATTGAAATCATTAAATACTGATGCATATAACTTGAAAACTGTGGCACATAAACAATTCTAATCCTTTCTTGCCAGAGTTGAAATGTATTTTTATTGTTTGGTCTGAAAGATGGCATGGATGAAATGTCTGGACCTCAAATTAATGTTTCCTGTCTATTATATAATTGAAGATCCCATGGCATTGTTTGGAAGAGCCGTGGCTTTAACCATAGTGTCTTGGCTATGTTTTCCGCAAACTGGGTGTTTGGGACAGTAGATGCAAGCCTTTTACCATGATGTCAGTTTTGCATGTTTTTGTGTGAGAAAAAAATATGTATAATGTATTGTTCTTTTTTGTCATTAAAAGTGCAGATAATGTACCATCTCCCTGTCTGTTTAGTATTGCATTTGATTGCAATTGCTTAACTAAGAAATTAGTATGTATACAATATGTTTTTGAAAGAGACTAATAATCAAGAATGCTGAAAATGTTCTCATTAATTGCAGTTTGTAGACAAACTGTAACAATGCGTTGCCTCTTTTTGCTGAACTGGTATAATAAAAGATCATGTGCCGAAGTTGTGTATCAAGGGTGGAAGTCACTGATCCCACTTACTGTACTGTAATGCACTTAGCTGCTGTGTGTGTTCAGCTGCCTGTTGCCTTGTTTCCTTTGGCAAGAGTCGTTGAGACACCTATCCTTTTCGCGTCTTAAAGAGCAACAGCTCTCACTCTTCATAGAGTAGGCACCCTGCATTTCCGTCCATCCTTGTAGCCCCTGAATAGATTGCTAATCTGTCAGTTAAGTAAATCCTCATTTTTGTCTATGAAGACTTCCAGCATTAGGATGATGAATTGTACACTGAGTCTCTTTGCAGAGCTGAAGATATATTATGTAGTGAGTCCTTCTTGAAGACTTCTCCATTTGTTCTTATAGTCTGACATCCCCATGGGAAAGGGATCATATATTTAGGTCAATGCTATCTTAAATCAAGAGGAATGTGCAATAACTGTATCGTACTCCTTTTCACCCACTGGGTCTGTGTGCTGTGAAGTGTGGATTTTGGCTCGCGTCGCGACCCATTAGTGTTTGTGTTTCTCAGATCGCCTCTCTCCTATGAGGTCTAACGCTTGTGGCGTCACAGGGTCCTGGGTGGAGCTGGAGATGAATGGGAACACGGGAGTGGCCCACCCCCCGAGCAGCAGCAATGGGAATGAAGGCGAAGACGAGCACAATGGTGGAGGGCTGGAACATGTCCCTTCCTCCTCCTCCATCCACAATGGGGACATGGAGAAGATCCTTTTGGATGCCCAGCACGAATCCAGCCAGAGCAGCTCCTCCTGTGACAGGTCGGTGTGCTGGCGGAGACCCAGGGTGGGGTGGATTCTGGGGGGACGCAGCAAGAGGAAAGAAGAGTAAGGAGAAGAGAGCTGTACACATCAAAAACTTTAGGGAAGAGTTATCTGGGGCAGCTGAGCTGAAGGACACAGAGTAGGGAGTAAGTGTTAGAGCACTGGGGGGTAGAGTAGTGGAAGTGAAAATGCAGAAGAGGAGCAGCTCTTGTAAAAAATGAGAGAGTAAGGGAGGAATACAGAAAGTTAGCTTCTGGATACAGGGGGCTAGAAGGGAGGAGGTAGGAGAGGGCATGGTGAACAACAGAGACAGGTGATGGGTGCACTGGAGGAAGAGGTGAAAATGGCTGGCACTTCTCTTCCTAACATGCAACAGAAAGAGCTGAGAAGGACATGGGGTGATGACAGAGAGGAAGGGATAGTGATAGCTGAGAGGAAGAGGATATCCTGTGTGATACCCTCTCTGGAAATGCCTTGATTTCTGAGAGGGATTGTTGTGATGTTTTGGTACCAGTGAGAACTGGTCAACAACAAGGTGGTCCAGAGTAGGAACATTTGAGCAAATATGAATTTAATAAAATTCTTAAACAATTGTAAAATATCCTTTATTTAGTATTGCAACAAAATGGTACTTCTCAGTTTTGGAGCAACTTAAAAAAAGACCAACCTAAGCAATATCAGGTAAGTAATTTTCCCAGCACTGCTTTTATTACCTCACTAATAATATAAAGCTTATCTTTGCAGCTGCATGTCCTATCCACTTCACTCACCAGGTGCTCTTCCTCAGATACACGGAGAACAGATAACATGTTATTGATGTTCTGTACATGAAATCTTTTTGTGAACGATTTCTGTCTGTTTTGGCAGAGTTGGACCCGGTCAAAGATGAACAAAAATACATGAATTCTTAAGATTTTCAGTCATTAAGGCACAGGAGTATTGAAAAAAAATCTCACCCTGCATAATTCTCTCTCTTGGCAGGTCTGTTTTAATACAAACCCCTCAATGACCTGAAAACTTTATTGCAGCACAGTCACCATAACGCAGATTGGTTTCCTTTTGAGTAGGTTTTATCCCTGCTGCTGCCATTTTAATTGATTCCATAATTCAACTGAATAGACAAAAGAACATAGAATACCCATTATTTGTTTGTTTAATGGTAGTAGAGGAATTTGTAGTTCCTGATTCCTTTGGCACCTAGCTCCAAAACCCTCATGAAACCACGAGATCCTCTATGTGGATCAGCCAGATCTTTAAAATTAGATAAAAGCTTCTACCAATGAAATTCTTTTTAACCCAAATTTCTAGTTAAATGAGTTTTATTGCTTCTTATTTTCCATATGTTACAAAACCACTATGTAACTGCACATTTGTTTTGAGTCCTTAAGTCATCCTAGGAGCAGCATTGCTGGGTTTGAATTTTGTCCTTAGTTTTCCCTGCAAGTTGTCCTTTGTAACCTTTTATATGTGGTTAGACATGGTGCGTGGAGCTGTGTTTCTTACAGCTTCAGTCTCCCAAAAGTAATCCATAAGTAAAGGAAAAAAGAAGAACTTAAAACCGCGGCTGCCTCTCAAAATATGGATACCTGTTTCTAAGTTCACCAGATAATGTACTGTAATATTTTAAGGGGGAAAAAAGGGCAAAAAATGGTTTTCCTCTTTATTGATTTTATCGTGTTTTACTTTATTTTTAACCTGGAACAAACTGCCTTGTCCATGTCTGGAGCATCGTTTAGTGCAGAGAGTGTGTGTTTGGCAGCTGCTGAGCATTGTGTTGCCTCTCTCCAGCCCTCCACGGCCCCACAGTCCTCAGGACGAGGGACAGATTACCTTTGACGTGGAGATGCACAGTGGCAGAGACAATGGCAGCACACAGGTATGTGCCCGCCTGGAATGTCCAGGTATCCTGTGCATTCCCTCGTGTGGTAACCTTCTATCCAAAATACTGAAATCTCATTGAGCTGTACTCTCTACTCTCACTCGCTTAATTGGACCAAATTTTCTTAGTTAAGATTCACGTTACCTTTGGTTACTGATTGAAGGTACATGAAAGATAGCAGCTCTCCAGGACCATGACAGAGATGGGTGACCTACTGAATCTTATGAGCTGGCATTTCACAGCTCTTCCTTGTTCTGAGGGCATGGAGTTGGGTAACAGCCTTGTGGACTAATGATAAAACTGTTAATACCTAACTTCACCCTTGCAAACTTGCATTTTGAAACTGAAACAAGTTGTCTGGTTTAGTCTTTTTGCGGAGGCAATATGATATTTAATTTCCTTTCAGACCCTGTTTCTAAAGGTGCCCACAGCATTTTTCTAAATTCCAGCCTTTATTATTAAGCTTACTGTTTATTATTTCTGCATGTTTTAGTTATGGCTTAAGGTCTTTTTCAGTCGTTAGTGATCTTGTCAGTCTGAATGTTATTATTGTGAGAGTCTGCTTCAAGGCTTCCTGCAAAACACAGATTTCTCATCCTATTTTACTTTCATTCTCTTCCTAAAGTCTGGACAGAAATAGCTGCTATGACTTTCCACTGTATGCTTACTGGTGTGCTTTAGAGCACACCCTTTGTAGAATGCTTCAGTCCTTAAGGTTGAGGAAAATCACTGTAATTTCCTGTTGTATTTTAAAATAAGCTTTATGAAAACACAACTGGACTCAAATATTTTGTACTTTAAAATACAAGAACACAAAGCCCACTATATTCATCATTGACTACTATGCTGCTGTATTTTTCCTCCTTCTCTCTGCAGTCGGAGGAAGAGGGACTAGAAAAGGAGAGAGAAGATGACATTCTGATGAAGAAGAGTGCAGACTGGGTAGCAGACTGGTCTAGCAGGCCAGAGAACATTCCACCCAAGTAAGACCTCAACGCTGTCTTGCCAGCGGAATGCCAGTGTACAGTAATATGAGGTGACCAGTGGGTTTTTAAAAACCATTTTTGCTCCTTTTGGATCAGAATGTGCACCAGATATTTTATCATTTGTGGTGAATTTTCAAACTATACATATGTGGTATGTCTTTTAAGATTTAATAAGGTTTTAATATCTTAAAAGCTCATTGTTTGGCTGAAATCTAAAAAAAGGGCCTGTTGTAAGTGATTCTTCAGTAACAATTGTTGTGGTTCATTTTCAGTACAAAGACAAAACAATAACAATTTGTCTTCCAATTCTGCTGCTTCAATGCTAGTTAAAACAGTATTAAAACCTAAGAAAACATTTGGTCAAGAATGATGAAATGATGAAAAGGACTAGGTGCACTCAGTGTTAAGCACGCCTCTGGTTACCACATGTTTAATTCAAATTAATTGAAATGGCTTTGGTTCTGTGGGACAGAGAGGCTCAGCATATCCTGTCTTGAACACCACAGGGAAGAAACGCTGTTCTTCTTCCCTGCAGGGAGTTTCATTTCCGACACCCAAAGCGCTCCGTGACCCTCAGCATGAGGAAGACTGGAGCAATGAAGAAAGGGGGCGTCTTTTCAGCCGAGTTCCTCAAAGTCTTCATCCCCTCACTCCTTCTTTCTCACATCCTGGCACTGGGGCTGGGGTAAGTGACACTGCGGGCACATACTGTACATCTACACACACCACAGCAACCAGGTCCTCATATGGGGAGGACATTTCTGCCATTATAAGGAGGCTGAACATATGGGGCCATATTGTATATATTATATCATATATCATATATATAGTATATATGAATATATCATATTCAGCCTTCACGGAGTTGCTGAATGAGATTTGTTTGTAAATTTCTTTCGTTCTTGTGTTCTTACTGCATCTATTTCTCAAAGTGCTGTAATAATGTTACAGAATGGTAAAATAACTCTTATGTGTCTGTATAGATTCCTAAATTATCAAAATTCAAAATGGAGTAAAGATAAGAGGTGAAATAATAAAAGGTGCTTCAAAGAGTATTTTGAAACTGTACAGAGACTAAAATGAAGGTTTAATCAGTAGAGAGTGAATGGTAACAGTTTTAATGTCTTTGGCCTGAGGCACAGAACAGATTAATTCCAAGAGTAAGCAAAATGAAAACTTAAAAGTAGTGACCCATAATGTTTGGTTTAATAAATAATAAAAGTAATAAGTAATAAAATAAATTGAAAAACAGAAGGTCACACAAGGGAGCATAATGAACTTCAAGCAAAGGTTAAAAAAAGATTTAAACATCTCAAGAGTGTGATGGGAAGGAATATTGCGCTAGTGTCTGAAAAGCTCATATGAGTCTTTATCATATTCAACACCAAACAAACTCTAAAGGATTAAGTAAACTGTCTCAGAATTAAAAAGTGGGAAAACATTTAAATGAAGAAAGGAAAAAAGGCTAATGTTACATTTTCAATCATTATTGAAATAATGATTTATTCAATAAATCATTGATTGATAGAATCATTATTTCAATACATTACCAAGAAAAAAAACACCAAGTTCAAGATGAGGAAGGACAAAGTTCTATAATGGCACGGAAAAGGCACAAATGTTACATCTACTCCGATCCATAAAAAGGATTATAGAACTGAAATTATACACCAATATGTATTCTATCGCTGTTATTGTATTGCAAGATGCCTTGAGAAAAATACTTGAGAAAAGGTTGCGTTTTGGCTCTTAGAAGCCCTTAAAATAGTGTGATCATAATAATAATAATAATAATTGCTTACACTTATATAGCACTTTTCTGGACACTCCACTCAAAGCTCTTTACAGGTAACAGGGACTCCCCTCCACCACCACCAATGTGCAACATCCACCTGGATGATGCGACAGCAGCCATAGTGCGCCAGAACAATCACCACACATCAGCTATCAGTAATGAAGCCAATTCATAGATGGGGATTATTAGGAGGCCATGATTGGTAAGGGCCAATGGGAAATTTGGTCAGGACACCAGGGTTACACCCCTACTCTTTTCAAGAAACGCCCCGAGATCTTTAATGACCACAGAGAGTCAGGACCTTGGTTTTATTTCCCATCCGAAGGACAGCACCAGTCTAGTGTCCCCGTCACTATAAAGGGGCATTATGACCCACATGGAACACAGGGTGAGTGCCCCCTGCTGCCTCCACTAACACCTCTTTTAGCAGCAACCTTAGCAACCTCCCAGGAGGTCTCCCATCCAGGTACTGACCAGGTTCACACCTGCTTAGCTTCAGTGGGTTGCCAGTTGTGAGTTGCAGAGTGATATGGCTGCTGGCTCTGCAGTTGCAGAGTAATATTATGTGCTCACAGCAGAATCTTTATCTTTTATTTTCACTTTTACCGTTCAGACCTTATAAATTCACATTGCATTCTTCTATAAGTAATGATTCCTGCAATAAATTAGCCAGAATTAAAAATGTATACATAAGAGTTAACCTTAAAGAGACTGAATGTAAGAGGGCAGATTGGGATTGTCTGGCATTCTTGTTATTTTAACTTGCATTCACTAGGTTAAAGCCTCTCTGCGCTATCTGTTGGAAGCCGCAATCACAGCTAAATTTAGGGAATCATTCCACACCAAAATTGCCCAGGAGTATCTAGTTTTCCCATGGCTTCTGCTATGTGGTTACATTAGGCTCATAGCTAGGGTGGGGACTGTGTATGGACACATTAAGGAAGTGCAGCTGTGGGTGGCAATGCAGTGCTTTACAAGTTGTACAGCTTACAGGGGGAGCATGAAATCATTTCAGGAGCCCCGAAATAACAGTGGAGACACTTACTCCTCCCTGTCTGGCACAGATTTCATCCAGGGCTGTCTAGAAATGTAATGTACAATGCAGATATTTTTTCCTCCTTCCAATGATTGCAAATGTATGAATATAAATTTTAACATGTTTTACAATAAAAATAAGATTATAGTTTAGTTTCACATCATAGCTGTAGTTTCCACACCTCCATTATTGGAAATTATTTGCTTTATTTTAAACATGTCTCTGCCTTCTTCTTCTTCAAATGCCTATTAGCTGAAAGTAATGTCCTTTGTTTACCTTTTGGTCAGGGAGTTGTTGTTTTTTTTGCTCTTATAACCTGTACATAGCACTTTTTTCTTTGTTAACATAACAGCTTTCCTTTCCTTAGAATTCTAAAGAACCCCTTATTAAAGATATTATTAAGAACCCCTTCTAAAGAAGCCTTATTAAAATTAGTGCTACCTGAGCATTATAAAATTGTCCCATTTTCTTATAACACATCCCTCCAGTGTAAGCATCCAGTGGCATGGTTGTCTGCATTATATGATGGTACAAAGCTAGGCTACCTGGTATGGTTTTACATGTGTCTACTCCATATTATGTTTTCTATTTGTCACAACTTGATTCTCTTGTACATCTTCCCTGCCAGACAGTCAAATTCTGAATAACAAAATACATTTGCAAAAGTGTAATTTGTGACTTCAGTCTTTTGTGGATCTCGATCTAATATTGACCTATTTCTTTCTCCTCCAATGTCTTTCAGAGTCTACATTGGGAAGAGACTGACATCCCCATCAGCCAGCTCTTTTTAAGTGCCTGGGATCCGTCAAGTTGTTAAATGTCAGTTTGTACAACAAATGCCCTTTCTCTTTCTCTCCCAACTCAAGCATGACATTAGTCATCTCTCACCCAAAAATATTATCCATCTTTCTGAGAGCACTGTTCATGAATAGGGGTGGAGATGAGAGGGTTTATCACAAGCCTTTTATCATATTGCAGTCTTTTCTCTTCTCATTCTGTCACTCACACCCTGTTTATCCTTGGTCATTTTTTCATATCTTTTTTAGAATTGTATTTGTTAGTTTTATTTCTTGCTTCCTCTTTTGTGATATTTACAGGTGTGGAGATGAGAACAGACTTCTGTTAAAAAGCTTTTTGATGCATTTCAGAAATCCCAGCTGCAGGCTTTTGAATGTGAACTAATAGCACATACCGGATGTTTCAAGCTTGTTACCCTTCTTGGAATAATTTTACAGACTTGAAGTTTAAATAATATGTTTTAATTTCCGTTTCATCTGTATAATGTGCACAGTAAGTTGCAACTCAAGACACCTGAAATGGATCAAACGTCTCTGCATGTGCAGTCCTGTTTCTGTCATATTTTCAATTTCATCTTGCAGATGAATGTTAGGAGATGCCATTCTGGAGTGACATCTGGATCCCCACAGTGCAAAATGCCTATTGTATAGAAGATGAATAATTTGCGTGGGATTACAAATTAATACATAAATGAAGGAAAAAGAAAACATTAACAAGATTTGGCCGAGAGTGAAGTAACCTATAAGCTAAATCTTATAAAAAATATTAATTTTTTAATATGAGAAATCTACCCTTACTTTTATTAGATTTATTAAGAAATATAATTTCTTTTGTAAGGTTGGTTTGAGACAGTTGAAAAATACAATGTGATGAAACTCCCTTTTATTTTCCAGATTTTATATATTTTTTTACATATAAGCAGTGGCCCAAAGTCATGATACAACATTTGAGGAGTTCAAATAGCAAAGTTAAATTTTCTTAATGGAAAACTGAAGATGAATCAAATTGAAAAACACACATCTTAGTAAGATCATGCACTTTAAAATATATATAATCTTATATTCACACTTCTCAGTAAAGGCTTCCTTCATCCTTTTGTTAGGTGCATGTCATGGCTATTTCACAGGGAGGGATCAGAAAAGATGTTACTACGGAACAGGCCTTCCTAATGTCTATTCCTCAGAACTCCACTGTGTTCTGGTTTTCATAACAAATGAGCTTTTAGTTACTTAATCAAACTCTTCCATGAACTGATTGTTCGATTAGTCATTGTGCCTCCAGTAGTTGGTAATGTCACATGACAATGTTAAGGAAATATTATGAAATATACAACTGTTCAGGAGGTAAAAAGTAAAATGGTCTTCAGATTAGGTCTGCCATGGGTTTGATTGGGTTATTGAGAGCTCAGCTGGAATTGAAAACCTGGGCCTCTAGAAATAGGCAGACCTGATGACTTGAAAGAAGGTTTTGCTGACTGTAGAAGCACTCCTGTATGGTTAGAATTTTGTGCTTAGTGCAGGGAGAGCTGTCAGCAGAAAATGTTTATTATGGGGGTTCCCTTAGATATTAATGAAAACAAAGGAACGGAGGTTGTTGAAGCTGTCCCTTTGTAATTGTAGCAATGAACCGCACAATATAACTTGTAAGCACTTGATTTTATGTTTAGCTTTTGAATCAAATTTTCAAAGTACATTAAAAGTAAAAATGTGAATTTCAATTTGATTTTTTTCCCCCACAAAGTTTTCTGGCAGTTGTTGTTTTTTTTGTAAGTAAGTGGAGGTGACTTAACTGAACAAAATTGCAAAGAACAGGCTACAGATTTAATTAATGTCTGAAAACATCTCCATAGCTTAGTGCAAAAACCACAAGTTTCTGCAAACTTTTGCTACTTTGTATCGGGATGAGTATGTGGCAATAGCAGTGTTGTCAGTTATAAACAATGATATAAGTAGTAATCTAGTATGTAGTATGCACCAAGTAATTGTATGAGACAAGATTAGAGAGAAGTGAGAGTGCCTAAACAGCCTCTCACAGCAGTGTGACAATTGCCCACCATACTCTCACCATAAATCACTTTTGCTCAAAGTCTGGCTTTCCATTTATTGATGAGACAGAGTAGTGTATAGTTTAAGAGTAACATTACATTTGTGCAGCTTAAAGAATACTTTCTCAATTTCTAGAAGATGGAAATCTGTTCTTTTGTTTTGTAAGACGGCTATACATACTACATAATCAAATAACATTTCAGAGCAGTGTGTTTTATGTTCAGCTTTAGAGCCATGTGCTATTTTTTTTGCATCAAGTAAGTTTTTTTTTTTCCCCAAAAAAATGAAAAGTAATCTGTGTGTGAAAATGTTGTGCTCAATGGGTCTTAATGCAAGAAGGTCTCTTATCGCTACAAATGAAGATAAGAAATGAAGATTAAATGCAATGCAACTGCAGTCAAGTCTGCACAACACAAAATTACCTAGCCAATGTGGCAGAAGGAAGTGCAGACTCATTGTGTAATTGTTTCACCTGTCATTTTATGTAGATATATGGCATATAAAACATGTTTATTTTAAAAGATGTTTTTTTTCTGACATCACAATTTGGAAGACCCTATGTATATTCTTGATTTTTAAAATTCTGTTTGGAGAGTCTGAGTCAATTTGCCCATTGTTTATTAAACAGAATATTTATTGATAGTTCATCCCTGAGTGGGATGTGTCCTACAAGTTGTCCAATATAACGATATACCATGTATGGATTGCAGACTTGATTTGGACACTGATAAATCCTTAGTCTGCACGACATAAATGGCCTTGTGCAGGTAGGACAAAGACACTGGGGATTTGAGAAGTAGAGAAGGCAATAGAGGGATCTCACTGTAACAAGCTCAATGCATTTGCTTTGAGCCCTGATAAATAAGCATGAGGGCAGGACTTTTTTATATACAGGTCTCCACTCCAGACAAGGATACCAGCATGCTGTTATTTCAGAGGAGTGAACAACAATCCTTAGCCCTGCTTTCCAAGAGTAGATGCTAATACTTAGAATGTGGGTGGCTTTGCAGGTGTAAGGATACAGACTGACAAATTCTCCTTACTGGATTTCAGACAATTTTCTGTGATTTTCTGATGTATTCTCTTGTCCTGCTTACATCAGTTTCTTGAATATGGGCTGTATAGCTTTAATGTCACACCCCTAAAGAGAGTTTGCAATGCAGGAATTTTGTATTGTGTTGATGGTTTCTTGAACTCTAACAAGTTTAAAATATTGTTTATATTTCTATAGAAAAATGGTTTGCCACACTTATGCGTGTTTTACCACAGGGGTACTTAAATACATTCCAATCTATTTCAGTACAGCAATGTCTCATTTAGTAGTGATGGTATGAGGTAATATAGACACTTATTATCATGGGTTCAATGGGGAATATGTTCCCTAAGAGCACTATTTCTATTTTTATATACAGTATGCTCATCTTCTATTCAAGTAAAGTCCTCATCCATAATGGCACTTCTTATATTTTGGTCACAGAATATAATTTTCTATTTTGTACAGGAAGTTGTTTATTTTTAAATTGTTTTTCCTTAAGAAATCCATTATTTGGCTCTGGACGAGTGCATTCAGTCAGACCTTGTATAGATGAACTGTCTGCCTTTGAAGATGTAGGTCCTCCCATAAGTCTCCTACCATCATTATGGAAGGAGACTTATGGGAGGACCTACATCTTCAAAGATGGGCCTGGCTGTGCACGGTCAGCTTCATGGGAAGCTTATGACTTCCTTTTGAGGGTACTGGCCATACAGGGAACATACTCCCATTGGCTGAGAGCTTGTATGTTATTTTTTGTTTCTTGCCTTTGGCACAAATTGTAGTAGGGTGCACAGCTACAGCCTGCCCTGAGTTTGCTGTGCAGTGTAGGCACTTCCATCTGGCCTGTGTTTCACAGAAAAACATTCTGCTTTAGTTAAAATAATGGCCAAAACTAAGAACGCTGTGGCAAATCGGTGGTATTAGAAGCAGTGCTAAGCGAGCCAATGCTGTACAAAATTTGTGTACAGCCAGAAATTCAGTTGTTAGGTTAATATGAATGAATGCCTTATATAATTAAACAGCTGGCTATTAGGGGCCTGCACTGGAATAGAAAAGAAGGTAGAGTATTTTACTACCCTACTTTACCATGTGCTTTACTCTACTTCACAATGTCTTTACTATGGATACAAAAATACAGTTAAAAGTCTTTTAGCTTTTTAGAAAACTATATATTGCACCTAGTTCTTAACCCTAATACAGCTCAGAATATTAAATAAATTAAAGAGGCTCTCCAGTGTATACTGGGACTTTTTTATTTGCACAGGACTGCTTTGTTGTCAGTTCAGTATGAGAGAATATAGCTAAAAAATAATGAAGGCCACCACAGATATTACCCAGTGAGTATAGCTTTTTTTATATAATCAGAAGCTCATAAAACATTAGTGTAGGACTGCAGAGAGTTTGCAATCTAATGAATACAATCAATCAGTGCATGTTTTATTTCTGGAAGCAAGACACAGTAAAGTACTGCAGTGTGTTTTAACTAGTATACAGGCAAGGCTGTACTGGGTGAATTGGGCTGTACTGTCACAGAATCAGCCTTTCTGTCACAGAATGGGATTAAAGAAAAGCTACCTTTGGAAATGTTTTCTCAAGCCTAAATAGTTTCATCAGGTATTACTCTTAAGGATGGTACACTTTATCATTGTATTGAGCCGCCATTTTATTTTTATTTTCTTTATGCAATATTTTTACTTTGTAAAAAATATATTGTTTTAGTGCCACAGGCTTGGTTCACAAAATAGGCTTCCATTGCACATGTTACTGTAAGCAGGTCCTTACAGATGTCTTTCCACTATCACCTATATCTGCTATAAAAATGTAGTCTTATCTTTGCATCAGGATTTTCACTAGGGGATACAAGGAAAACACCTGTACCTAGAATGTGAACATGCATATCCAGAGGGTAGTAATCAAGGGGAGGATGAATTACAGGGTTTAAAAAAGATTTTATTGTTAATCTTTTCCTGAAAAAGTTGGCTTTAATTTGTGCTATGGGCGGGTCCCCCAGTTTGAAGAAATCCTTTAAAAGGTAATGATCTTTATATTAAATCTCAGTTGTCTGTATTGGGTTTTTATCAGATTGGAAAGATTTTCCCATTAAAGTTCCTCAAAAACAACACCATGTTCAATATATTTTATTTTTGTTCTTTTGGTTGTCTGTATGCAGTCTCCCAGCTGTCATTGTTAGTTTCTGTCTCCTTGTTTGACCTCTGTGCCTGTTGGCTTAAAAGTATATGCTGAACAATTATGATGGTGGTGTTCTCTAATGCTGTAACCACAGGTCCATTTCCTGGAAATGGCAGATTCCAATCTCTGAAAATAAACCCACAAAAGAACTTTTGAGGGTTATGAGATTGTTGTGCTTTCTGTATTTGTGTTTATCTCACGGAGGGCTTTTATTCATAAATCATTTTTGTATCTCGGTAACACCAAGCACAAGATGTAAAGATCAGGTTTTTAATATTAAAAAATCCAAAAAAATATTGAAGAAGCCTGCAATACTTAGAATGAAAAAACAGACATGATTAGAAGGCAAACTGACATAGACTTGTTGGTAAATGGTTTATAAATAAAGGCCCTGAGATCCATTGCCCTTTTTAAACTTTATAAGTACATTTAGAAGCTCAGCTTTCAAAGATTTTACTAAGAACAAAATAAATTGATCTGGTTTTAGTGATGTCTTAATCTGTTGCAGTGTGAATAATGTAGTTGAAATGCATAGCTGTGGATTCTGCATTGCTATCTCTGTGTGGTGGATTGAGGGGAATATTTTAAAAACGAAAACGTAAAAGTTCATTTTAATGTGCTAGACTTTTCCAAGGTTGTTAGTGCTACAGTAGTGTTAGCTTCACACCCTTAATTTTTTGTACAGATGCAAACTTACTTTAAAATTTTATACTTATCCTGAAGAAAAATATTACGTTAGATAAAATAATCATTGCCCCCTCCTAAGCTGATTCGTGGTAGTTTTATTATTTTTAATTGTGACACTTGACATCAAACCACCAAGTTACGGCTTTACAAATCAAATTGAAAACATTTGGATTGGTTAACTTAAAGTATTGAAACGTGTTGTTTTATGCTTAAGGACCGTTGGGTGTGAACTTAGCGTTTTAAGTGTTTACTGCATACAGTTTAAACAGATGTGTAGTTCCCATATTCAGAAATGGTAAGTGGAGTCAAACAGTACAGAGTACGGTGCATTCAGCACTTGATTTTTACTCTATGTGATGATTTCTAATTTTAACCACCAATAAATACTTAAATGACAAATGTGATAAGGGCCACCTAGATGGGTTGTAATGTGTATTACACGTTTATTTTAGTCTATAAAAAACATGTTTAAGTCAAAAAGTAAATTAGAATTCCCTAATCATTTACATTTTTGCCTAATTAGTAAGGGAGATTGGACCTCTGAAGGAATATTATCTTATCAGTTTAGAAGTATGGTTTGTGTTGCACAAGTGAATATCAAATTCAAACTCTTCTTGTGCTTTAGCACAATTCTAAGTAATATTTTTGAGTATTCATTTTAATGAATTAATAAAACATATTGATCTTAGTATTAATTATGGTATTAATTTAATTGGCATTAAGTAAAAACAAACAAGTGCCCAGTTGGATGCT